CCTACTGGAGGTCTTGCTGAGCGTCGTGAGCCTGAGTCGCGTCCTGCGTCACCTGTTCGTACTGCTCGCACTAGTCGTCGTGTTCCACGTCAGCGTCCTCCTGCGGTCCCGGGCACGCATCAGATGGCACTGCGTCCTTCCACTGCGCCACAGCGTGTCCCTTTGCCATCTCCTCCAGCGTCCTCTCTTCCTGCTCTTGCTGACCCGGCGTCTGACTCCCTTCGTGCTGCCAGTCCTACTGTCATGCGTTTCCTAGCCACTGCTGTCACAGACCCTTCCTTTGAGTCTGCTGCTGCGTCTGCCTTAGTTGCCGAGCTTGTCAACTTCGCTGCTCACTGTCGTCTAGACTACGCCGCTAGTCTTGTTGCTGAGTCTGCGTCTATCTGTCCTCCGTCCGTCGGGGGTGAGTGTGCTCTTAGCACGGACGTCCTTGAGGACAGGCAGGAGGAGTTCCAGTGTTTTGCAGCTGCTTTACCTCATCTCGTGTCTTTGCTGCTTGCCCCTGAGGGAGACCCGGATGCACCAGACATCCCGACCCCGCGCTCTTACGCAGAGGCGATAGAGGGTCCCTACTCCTCTCGGTGGCAGGCAGCCATGGACGTAGAGATGGCTTCCTGGAAGTCCACAGGCACCTACGTCGACGAGGTTCCCCCACCTGGGGCGAACATCGTCAGTGGCATGTGGATTTTCAGGGTGAAGCGGCCGCCGGGTTCTCCTCCTGTCTTCAAGGCGCGTTACGTGGCTCGAGGCTTCAGTCAGCGGCAGGGAGTTGACTACTTTCAGACCTTCTCCCCGACCCCGAAGATGACCACTCTTCAGGTTCTGCTGCATGTCGCTGCTCAGCGTGACTACGAGCTTCACTCCCTTGACTTCAGCACTGCTTTCCTACAGGGCAGCCTGCACGAGGAGATCTGGCTGCGCCGCCCACCTGGCTTCACTGGGTCGTTTCCTCCTGGTACCCAGTGGAGCCTCCGACGGCCAGTCTACGGTCTCCGCCGGGCACCCCGTGAGTGGCACGACACACTGAGGACTACGCTTGCAGATCTTGGGTTTGCTCCTTCTACTGCTGACCCGTCGTTGTTTCTTCGCACCGACACCTCGCTGCCGCCGTTCTACATCCTCGTGTACGTCGACGACTTGGTCTTTGCTACGGGTGACACTGCTGGACTTGCCCACGTGAAGTCCGAGCTGCAGAAGAGACACACGTGCACTGACCTGGGTGAACTGCGAAGCTATCTTGGCTTGCAGATCACCCGGGACAGAGCACGGCGCACCATTACTCTGACTCAGTCACGCATGGTGCTGCAGGTCCTTCAGCGCTTCGACTTCACGTACTCGTCGCCTCAGGCCACTCCTCTGTCTACTCGCCACTCGCTCTCAGCTCTGCCTTCGGATGAGTCCGTAGAGCCGAGTGGCCCGTACCCAGAGCTTGTTGGCTGCCTCATGTACCTGATGACCTGCACTCGACCTGACCTGGCATACCCTCTTAGCATCTTGGCTCGCTATGTTGCTCCTTGGAGACACCGACCAGAGCACATGGCTGCCGCGAAGAGGGTGTTGCGCTACCTGTGCAGTACGTCGGGCATGGGGCTCGTGCTTGGAGGGCGGAGTCCAGTGGTCCTCACTGGTCACGCAGACGCGTCTTGGGGTGACGACCTGGCTACTCAGCGGTCTTCACAGGGTTACACCTTCAGCCTTGGTTCCGGTTCTGTGTCGTGGCGGTCTACCCGCTCGTCTTCTTTTCTCAGCTCCAGCTGTGAGGCTGAGATCTACGCAGGAGCCATGGCTGCACAGGAGTTACGCTGGCTCACCTACCTGCTGACTGACCTGGGAGAGCCGCCTCGTTCTCCTCCAGTTCTGTACGTAGACAACAAGGCCATGCTGGCCTTGTGTCGGGAGCACAGACTGGAGCACAGAACGAAGCACATTGCTCTTCGCTACTTCCTTGCTCGTGAGCTGCAGCAGCGTGGTCAGCTGCGCCTTGCTTACGTGGCCTCTCAGGCCAACACTGCTGATATCTTCACCAAGGCGCTTCAGCCTTGTGATCATCAGCGCTTCTGTACTATGCTAGGTCTTGTGCCTACTTGGCCTCACTTGCTTACCTCTTGACTTTATTTGTACTGTGATCTATATATACCTGCACTTGTTTGTTTACCTTTATATATAACCTTGCATGTGAACTGGCCTTGTGGCCTTTGAACCTGTGCTCGGAATGTGTGGTGACGTTGTGATCCACCTTGAGCTTGCTTTGCTTTGCTTTGCTTGACTGGTCTTGTGACCCCTTGTTCTCTTCCACCTTGCCTATGGGGGTGTGTCAAACATTAATCACATAGTCTGTTTAGGCTGTAGTGGGGTAGACACTATGGGGTACATGTTGTTAGGGTTTCCTATTTGTACCCAACTCATTTCCTAGTCATTCATTCCTATTGTTTCACAATCATTTCACAAAAGGTTCATTGGCGCATAAAGTGACTCGTGTGTTGCCACTTCCAACTGGATTTGATAGGGTTGACCATTTTTTTCGGATTTACAGATTTTGTTGATTCATGTGATAGTTGATCATTCAAAATCTATGCTATTGACGCCCCCCCCCCCCAATACTAGGTAGGGGATGGCGGTAGCTTAGTTTTTGGGTCGTTAACTGTCACGCATTTTATTATGTGCATGCATGTGCATCATGATTCATGACAGCTCTGCCTTCGGATGAGTCCGTAGAGCCGAGTGGCCCGTACCCAGAGCTTGTTGGCTGCCTCATGTACCTGATGACCTGCACTCGACCTGACCTGGCATACCCTCTTAGCATCTTGGCTCGCTATGTTGCTCCTGGGAGACACCGACCAGAGCACATGGCTGCCGCGAAGAGGGTGTTGCGCTACCTGTGCAGTACGTCGGGCATGGGGCTCGTGCTTGGAGGGCGGAGTCCAGTGGTCCTCACTGGTCACGCAGACGCGTCTTGGGGTGACGACCTGGCTACTCAGCGGTCTTCACAGGGTTACACCTTCAGCCTTGGTTCCGGTTCTGTGTCGTGGCGGTCTACCCGCTCGTCTTCTTTTCTCAGCTCCAGCTGTGAGGCTGAGATCTACGCAGGAGCCATGGCTGCACAGGAGTTACGCTGGCTCACCTACCTGCTGACTGACCTGGGAGAGCCGCCTCGTTCTCCTCCAGTTCTGTACGTAGACAACAAGGCCATGCTGGCCTTGTGTCGGGAGCACAGACTGGAGCACAGAACGAAGCACATTGCTCTTCGCTACTTCCTTGCTCGTGAGCTGCAGCAGCGTGGTCAGCTGCGCCTTGCTTACGTGGCCTCTCAGGCCAACACTGCTGATATCTTCACCAAGGCGCTTCAGCCTTGTGATCATCAGCGCTTCTGTACTATGCTAGGTCTTGTGCCTACTTGGCCTCACTTGCTTACCTCTTGACTTTATTTGTACTGTGATCTATATATACCTGCACTTGTTTGTTTACCTTTATATATAACCTTGCATGTGAACTGGCCTTGTGGCCTTTGAACCTGTGCTCGGAATGTGTGGTGACGTTGTGATCCACCTTGAGCTTGCTTTGCTTTGCTTTGCTTGACTGGTCTTGTGACCCCTTGTTCTCTTCCACCTTGCCTATGGGGGTGTGTCAAACATTAATCACATAGTCTGTTTAGGCTGTAGTGGGGTAGACACTATGGGGTACATGTTGTTAGGGTTTCCTATTTGTACCCAACTCATTTCCTAGTCATTCATTCCTATTGTTTCACAATCATTTCACAAAAGGTTCATTGGCGCATAAAGTGACTCGTGTGTTGCCACTTCCAACTGGATTTGATAGGGTTGACCATTTTTTTCGGATTTACAGATTTTGTTGATTCATGTGATAGTTGATCATTCAAAATCTATGCTATTGACGCCCCCCCCCCCCCAATACTAGGTAGGGGATGGCGGTAGCTTAGTTTTTGGGTCGTTAACTGTCACGCATTTTATTATGTGCATGCATGTGCATCATGATTCATGACATATCATATTAAACATTATGCATCCTATAGCATTATTTTATGCACAAACATTTATTTATCATTACTACAACATCATTTAATAGTAAAACATATTGAGAAAGCTTGCTTTCTTATTCTTATCAATTGGCATCGTTCTCATTACAAATGGGCATCGTTCTCATTACAAATGGCTGTTTACAACATTTGCATCACAATTGAACACAAGCTAGTGCATGCTCATATCACTAGCTACGATATACCCTATCCAAGTGGCATGCGCAAAACGGTTTACGCTGGGGTGGGTGGTGCGAAGGTCGAGTGAGCCGTTTGAAAATAGAGAAACGTGGGTGGAGGAAATGAGCTCGAACCCACGGTTTTTGTAGTTGGAGAAGGGCGTTTAGCGTGCTTCGACGATGCCTATTGTGCAATACAAGCAGCTTCGCTTTCACAATACACAATTTTGAAAAACACTATGTGTGTTTAAAATTTATAATATAATGCAAACAGTACAACATATCTGCACAAAACACCTGATAAAAAATCATATGGTTTGACGTACTGTGAACAGTATTGACAACTAGTCACTATGCACAGTATGGGAAGGGTACTGTAGTTTATGAATTTTATCTTCATATTTTATTTAAAATTAATATATATGAAAATAAAATTTGGCAAAATCGATAAATTTATCTTCTCAACCCAGAAATCTGACACCCGTCGGTTCCGGAGAGTAGTACGTCCGAATCCGGTTGAAAACGGTTTGGATCTGATCCTGAGCGGTCTTATTATTAACAATCGGTTGGGTAGGGTTTTCTTCTTATACGTAACTTCATGGACCTGCCCTAATCAAGTATGCAAAGTTTACTGTTAACCAAATGGCGTTACTTACGTTCCTTTCCGTACCCAACAAGGCAAAAATGAGAACCACGACAGATAATCAGGTTCCACAGCAAATAATCCAGGTGCTCAAGCGCATGAAACGTGAAACGTGCACAACCCCTACAATATCCACCATACGCATTTAGTACACCTCCACGTGCCACTGGTGGTTCTTCTTGAGCTTGCCGGAGAACTCCTCATAGTCTAGCCCTCTTGAGGCGGCCACCCTCTTAAGCGTGTCCACAATGCCGGGCATCATCCCCTTGAGCCCGCAGAAGTAGATGTGCGCACCCTTGTCCAGCAGGTCAAAGATCTCCTCACCGTACTCCTCCAGCTTGTCCTGGATGTACATCTTGCCTCCGTTCTTGTTCTTCGACTCACGGCTCAGAGCCACGTCGTACCTGGAGGTGGTTGTCCACAAAGGGGGAGGGACATCAAAGGGGGAGTCAGAATTGAAGGAAATACAACACATTCATCGTGCAGATACCACAGTACATGATAACTTCCTGTGTGGATCACAGTGCAATCAGTAAGGTCAGAAGGCAGTTAGGATTGTGTTTTGCATGCATTGTCCGCCATGGTACCCAGACCCCTTTCCACTTCAAATTTTCCCACCCTTCGCAAGGCCCTTCACCAGTCAGCCACACCTTTCCACACCTACGCACCTTCGACTCATGACCCATCAACTCATGCGAGCAAAAGCCATCCCACTCTAATTTCACAGCTTCCCTCCCTCGCGCCTCTACTCCCCTCCCTCCACTCCCTTTCTAACCCTCCCTCTACCCCCTCCCCACCCCTTCCCCCTTTTCCACCTCTAGCCCCTCCCTTCGCGAGCGCGCACCTGAAGTTGTCGGGGAAGAGGCGCAGGTACTCCTTCCACTCGTCGTCGTACAGCAGGCTGTCCGTGTTGGCCACGCCCAGGAACAGCCACGCGAGCCCGCTGAACTTGAACGGCACGTCCTCCATGAACATGCGGCGCAGGTACCCGCGGTACGGCGCGATACCCGTGCCCGTGGCCACCATGATGTGCGTCGCCTTGGGGTCCTTCTCCGGCAGCAGCATCACCTTGCCCGTCGGACCTGCAGCCACGAGGCCCACACAAAAGGGGAGAGAGGAAGAGAGAGGGGAAGGGGGAGGGGAGAGAAGGGGGGAAACGAGGGAACGGGGGAATGCCGGGGGAACGTTAGCGTGAAAAGACGTGTAGTTGAGAGGGGGCAGCCGGGAGTAAAAGTGATGGTGACAACCATTGCACACTCGATAAAAAGGCGGTAGGTCCAACGAAGGATCTGACTAACAGAAAATATGCGGACAGACAGCAACGCGCGAATTCGGGAGCAAGCACCAGGTAAAAAAAAACAAAAAACAAAACAGAGTCAGGACATCGAGCGACGAACGTACCAACCATGGTGAGCTTGTCCCCGGGCTTGGCGTCGCAGAGGAAGTTGGAGCAGATACCCTTCTTGGAGGGGTCCTCCTTGCCCGTCTCCGGGTCCACGTACACGGCGCGCCGCACGCACAGCGACCCCGTGCGGCCATCGAAGTCGTCACCGTAGCGCGTCGACGCGATGGAGTAGAGGCGCACCGTGTTAGGCGTGCCGGGCTTCTTGGGGTTGTCGCCCTGCCGAGGGGAGAGGAGACGAGCGGAGTGAAGTGGAGGGTTTAAGTGGGAAAGAAAAACACCACGGGCAGGACGCGACAAAACGAGACGAAAGGGAATGAAGGAAAACGATGATAAAGCGAACGCACGCTTTTCAGCGAACAGATCGGAAGAGGACAACGTTCTAATCAAAACGTGCCAGAGTTTGAAAAGCGCGAATTTGCAGTGCACCTAATTCATGCGTACATGAAACCATACACATCTCAAACTCGACGACGCTAACCAACTTCTCTTCTTACCACACCCGAACATACAAGACGAATCAAGTCTGCTTTGACAGCTGAATGGGAAACACGTGCCGAGGAACGACCGCTGCGACAACCCCAGATGCAGTTCGCAACCATAGTCACAACCGCAACGCGGACCGCGACGACCGCGACTGCGACGACAACGACCGAGGCGAGGGGTTTCCAAGGCGGATACTCACGGGAGGGATGATGCCGTAGCTCTGGCCTTCCCAGTACGGCATCTTGCCCTCGTGGTCGATGACGATGTGGCACGTCTCGCCCGTGGCATTGGGGCCCACGATCCGCTCGACGGACACCACGGTGCCGATGAACGGCTCCTTGTTCTTGTACGTGTTGAGCGGCGGAGATTCCGGCTCCTCCAGCTCCTTGGGGAACAGGACCTTCTCCGCGCGCACTGCAACGCTGGCGGCCGCGGCGCGGCGAGCGGCGGTCTGCTTCACGTGGAGCTGGGTTCCATGGAAGAAGACTCGTGGCGACGATGCCACGACCTGCGTTCAGGGGTTTATGTGACGAGGGGGGGGGGGGGGGGGGGGGGGGGGGGGGGGGGGGGGGGGGGGAAGGGAGAAAAGAGGTGGGGGGACAACATTGCGGTACTCTGCTTAATACCGGTTGTCACGCTCAATGCGGATAAAAAATAATCATTCACGTAGATTATTGAAGGTAAAAAAAAAAAGCTTTAAAACACAACAATGACTACCGACCTTGGTGGAACTCGCTCCAGACAGCGAAGCGACGGGCGTCTGGATCGAAGCCTGCAATGCAACAAAACCACAAGACGGTAATGACGTCATTATTGATCCTCAGACAACGGATGCTGCTGAATTATGTAAACCAGAACCGAAAACAGAGAAACAAAAAAAAAGCTCGAAACGTCAAGCATTTAAAAAAGAACAATACGAGAAGATCTATCAGCAGGCGAGAAGCATTCCAAAACGAAGGCGCAATGCAGACCTGAAGAGCAGTAGCGTGCGCCATGGTTGGTCTCTTTGGTGTCTCTCTGACCAGCAAGGCGAGCTTCCCAGGCAAGTGAGGTGTGAAAGGAGTTGTTGAGGAGAAAAGGCTGGGAGGTGTTGCGATTGTGGGCTCCCCTCAGAGGGAAGGGCAGGCTGGCGCTATACGCGGTATAGTGATGGATGCCCTGATGGAATGTGTCAAGTGAGAAACTGATGGGGTGATTTGAATGGCTGGTGTGGATGGAGGAGGGGGATCCATCGCTGGCCTGCCCATGTGGCCATTTGGCTCGCTGCACGACGGAAACCAGAGGAGATCGCTGACGTGGCACCCGTTTTAGTGGTTTACCTAACGGATGGTGACTTTTTGGAGGGGGGACGCGAAGGCGGTAAACACGCGCGCGCCGCCTCTCGCGATGGATGGGGGCCATCAGAGAGGGCGGGAGAACACCTCTGGTTGTTTGGGTGCGACGAAGGCCGTCGGGGCTTGGTCGCAGGTTGGATGAACGGTCGCCACTTCACAAGGGCATGTGGCTGATTCGCACGGGCCAGCCTGTTGAGACAACGAAGGTCTGCGGTGACCCTTAGCGAGTGACAAGGATGTTGATGAAGGGTTGATGGATAATGTCGAGCGATATGGAAGGGCAGTCACACAGATCCAAGAGATGGAACAGCTTCCTGTGGTGGTCGTCCGATGTATATCAGCCTCCGAAGTGGCGATTTGGATTGCGCCAGCTGGCAAAATACAGCAATTAGGAGATTACGTGGCCAAAAGCGTTTTGTGATATTTTGGGATTCAACTTGGGTGTTCGTGTAGCATATTTGCCTGCATTTCTATGAGGCCTATTGTCAATAGTCTAAAACACTTTATAAGCTTTGCTCAACGTATACGGTTATTCCATGTCGCCTTTGAACACTCCACATCCTGACCTCTACCCAACTTAGTTTCCTGGAGATTCTGCATTGCATCGCCCCTATTATTTTGGCTGGGCGTCTTCACTTCATTTACTCACGCATACCGTCACGGATAGAAGCGCCCCTCAGGGTATAAAAAAACACTGTTTTTTAGGGGGTGCGCTTATATTCGAGGAATTCTATAAGCGCCGGCGTTTATAAAATGGCAAAAAGTATTTCTATCTGTTTTACACCAAACTATAGATCTCGTTCTGCCGATCGTAATCGATTCGAAAACATCTAGGGTCGCGAATCTGATTCTCGCGCAGCTTGGCAGGGAGTGATTCCCTCCCTGCCAACTCAAACTGACAGAATGACAACACATGCTGACTAGACGCGCAAAAAGTGAGATCAGAGTGTGGGAAATCGAATTTGTAGTTTGTTTCCCTACTAATGAGAAATTTGTTTATGTATTTCATCGGGTTTTCAAATGAAAAACCAACATGCACTTATAATAAATCATATTTTTTTAGGGGGTGGGCTTATAATCGAGGACCGGATATAAGCGCCGTGATCCTTTTATAAGTGCCAGCGCTTATCCGAGGCCTGCGCTTCTAACCAGGGGCTTACGATATGTCATTATGGAACTCACGCAATCCTTTACTCGTACATTTGGTGTCATACTCTTACAATCCGTAGAGTACTCAGGTACATTCGGCTGACATGTCCCTTAATAACGCGTCACAAACAATTGTGGCGCGTACAAACTGTCAGAATGTTAAATTGCTTACAATTGTGTAGGCTATAGTGGGGTAGCTCATAAGGGGCACAACCAAATTAGGGTTAGTACTTGTACCCAACTCTTTCATAGTTCATTCATTCCCGTTCACTCTTTTGACATGGTTTCAGAGCAGGTCCTCCGCTAGGACCGGTTTTTTTTTCCTTGGGCCGACCACAGCGCTACCCCGCTAGCCGCCCTCTGCAGCCCTCGAGCTGCCCCTACTGCCTGTCGCGACCGTTAGGCCCCTAGGCCCGTCGCGACCGTTAGGCCCCTAGGCCCGTCGCCACTAGCCCGTCGCCTCGGCACGTCGCCCTAGGCCCGTCGCCCCCGGCCCGTCGCCCATCACCACCTAGGCCCGTCGCCCCGCGGCCCGTCGTCCGTCGCCCCCTCCTAGGCCCGGCCCGTATCCCGTCGCCCATAGGCCCCGCGGCCCGTCGCCCTTAGGCCCCTCGAGGCCCCCCGAGGCCCATCGCTCCTGGCCCCGCGGCCCGTCGCCCTTAGGCCCCCCGAGGCCTGTCGTTCCTGGCCCCGCGGCCCGTCGCCCCTAGGCCCCCTCCCCCTCGGCCCTTTGCTCCTAGCCCCGCGGCCCGTCGCCCCTAGGTCCCGCGGTCCGTCGCCCTTAGGCCCCCCGAGGCCCGTCGCTCCTGCCCCGCGGCCCGTCGTTCCTGGCCCCACGGCCCATCGCCCCTAGGCCCCCGGCCCCTCGGCCCGTTGCTCCTGGCCCCGAGGCCCGTCGTCCCTAGGCCCCGCGGCCCGTCGCCCCTAGGCCCCCGGCCCCTCACTCCTGGCCCTGCGGCCCGTCGCCCCTAGGCCCCGCGGCCCATCGCCCTTAGGCCCCCCCCGAGGCCCGTCGTTCCTGGCCCCGCGGCCTGTCGCCCCTAGGCCCCCGGCCCCTCGGCCCGTCTCTCCTGGCCCCGTGGCCCGTTGCCCTTAGGCCCCCGGCCCGTCACTCCCGGCCCCTGCAGCCCGTCGCTCCTGGCCCTGCGGCCCGTCGCCCCTAGGCCCCGGCCCGTCGACCCCAGGCCCCGCACGCTGCTCCTTGCGTGCTGCTGCTGCTACTGCTGCTGCTGCTGCTGCCCTGCTTGCCCCCACCCCCCTCTCTGCTGCTTCTGCGTGCTGCTACTGCTGCTGCTGCCTGCCTTGTGCTCTTCGCTGCCCTGCTTCTCCCCGCTCTGCGTGCTGCGCCGCTATGGCTTCGCTTCGGGTTCTCGCGTTTGATCATGAGGGCAGACCGATTCAGTTTGACACGTGGCTCGACGACTTGCTACTGAGCGATTCTAAGGACAACGTTTCGCTGTTTGACCTCGCGTCAGGCGCCGCTACCGCCCCTCCCGCCACAGCTGACAGTGCGACTTGCTCACAGTGGCTTACTCGCGACGCTGCTGCCCGCATAGCCATTTGCAACCACCTGCCATTGGCCGAATGCGCTCACTTCGGACAGCACAGGACAGCACAGGCACTGTACGAAGCTGTAGTCGCTCGCTACTCCTTGCCTGCCACTGCTGCTCTAGGCCGCCTGCTTCTGCCCTACCTGTTCCCCGAGCTGTCCGCCTTTGCCACGGTAGAGGACCTTGTTTCCCACCTCCGCACTAGCGACGCTCGCTACCGCGCTACCGTCCCCGATGTTCATCACTCTCTACTTCATAGTCACCCGCCTCCTTGACTCTCTTCGCTCTGTCAGGGACCAATTTCTCTCACTTGACCCCACCTCCCTCACTTTTGACCTACTCGAGGAGCACCTCCTCGCAGCTGAGACTAGTGCAGTTGCTGTAGGTGCTGCTCGTGGCACTCCGCGCACGCCAAACTTTGAGGGGTGCTCCCCCTCCCCCCTTGCCCCCTCCTACGCCACTGCTGCTGCTGCAGACGTCCCTGGTGCTGCGGACGTCGGGGCTGCTTCTGCTAGTGCAAAGCGCCGCAGCGGCAAGGACAAGGGTGGAACAGGTGTTGGCGGTGGCAGCGGGGGTGGTGGTGGGGGCAGCAGTGGAGGTGGTGGAGGCAGTGGAGGTGGTGGCAGCGATGGGAGTGGTGGCGGGAGTGGGGGCTTTGGTGGCGGCGGTGGAGGCAGCGATGGGAGTGGCAGTAGTGGCAGCAGTGGGAGTGGAGGCGGTCGGACTGGAGCTCAGCGTGGCGGTTCTAGAGGAGGCCAGAGGCAGCACCAGCAACGTCGGAGCGAGACCCCGTCGCCCCAGCAGCTTCGTGAGTGGTTTGCTCAGCGTGGGGTTTCTGGGGGTAGTGTTAGCTACCCGTATGTCATTCGCACGGGTGACCGTGCTGGTCAGACATGCGGGAAGCTTCACACTCAGCACCACTGCTTCTCCCGCCTCGACGACGCTTGGCACGCAGAGTTTGGTGACGAGGCCGAGCGCCCCCGCTGGGCAGAGCTGCTTAGGTCTGGAGTAGCTATCTTTGACCTAGACTATGATGCTATCCTTGCTGCTATGTATGGTTTGTCTGTTAGTGCTGAGGGTGACTGTTACCCGTGTGTGCTGCCTGACCCAGGTATAGAGGCTGCTGCTCTAGGTGCTAGTGAGTCTGTTCTCCCTGGTACTGCACTTGATGAGGCCTTGCACACTTTCACACTTGACTCAGGTGCCTCACGCTGTTTCTTTCGCGACAGAACCACCCTCACTCCTCTCTCTGCACCCGTACCGGTAAGGCTGGCTGACCCCTCCGGGTGCCCAGTCCTCGCTCGTTCCTCCACTGTGCTCCCGTGTCCGGCGGTTCCGTCCGGCTCACTGTCAGGCCTTCACCTCCTCTCGTTCTCTACGAACTTGGTGAGTACCGCTGCCCTCCAGGACGCGATGGTCACTACCACCGCTCCCGAGGGTCAACGTGTGTCAATCTGCACGTGTACACGGACGGGCCGACACCTGGCCATGTTCACTCGTCGGCCAGGGTCGAGTCCATACACACTGGCTACCGAGCCTCCTCAGGTAGCTGCGTCTGCCCATGTGTCCGCGTCAGGTCAGGTAGCACCCCCTTGCTCGTGTCGCCTCCTGTCGCACCAGACCCTTCTGTGGCACCACCGCCTGGGTCACCCCTCCCTGCCACGCCTTCGTGGCATGCACTCCCGCCTCCTTGTCTCTGGTCTTCCCAGGTCTCTGCCTCCCCTCCCACCCTCGCCTGCCCCGGTCTGCCTTCCTTGTGTCGAGGGGCGGCAGCACGCCGCTCCTCACTCCTCCTCGTTTCCCCCGACGACTGCTCCACTGCAGACTCTCCACATGGACGTGTGGGGCCCAGCCCGCGTCAATGGACAGGGCCGCGAGCGGTACTTTCTGCTGGTAGTTGACGACTACACGCGGTACACCACGGTCTTCCCCTTGCGCAGCAAGGGTGAAGTCGTTGATGTC